GGTGATGAAACAACTACTGACCTGCCTTCAGAAATAAACTTTAAAGAGGATACTCCTGGGAGGAGTTTACTGCAGTCTAAATTAGATAAAGCAACTTGATGCGGTTCATGTATTATTGATCTTTCAGCAATAAATCCAGAGGTGTGTTTATAAGCAAGAGACACAATTATCCAGATTTTTATCCTTCTCACTGGTGTGAAGCAGCAGTTTTCAGGGAATATTTACCTAAAGTGTACTTGCTGATTAGTCCCACTGCTAATCATTAATATTCAAAAGATAAGATTTTTTTTTCTTTAAAAAAAAAAGGGGAAGAAGGAAGCAGATTTTAAAGAGTTCCTGGAAATGAAATAAATCTGTTAATTCCTGATGTAACAGTTATTTGATTTTTTTTCAAGTGCCAGTTGCTACTGGGATTGTGATGTATATGGAGTTGAGCATGTCCATTTTAATGGGAGGTATTCTGGAATATAAAGATGTTCACTGAGTTGGCAGGAAGGTAAAGAGTGGAGGGTGGAACTGTGAAGGCAATTAAAGGACTTTGCAAGTAGAGCCTGGAAGAGAGCCAGTCCTTGAATGCAATCTAATTGAATCCTTGTATAAATTCTTTAATTACTCCAGCGTGCACACACAAAACAGTACTAGCTTGATTCTATAGACTAGGCAGCAAGTCTGAGCAGTTTTATAGAATCATTCTACATGCTCTCTGATTAGAGGAGCTAATGGAACTGGGCTGAGCAGCAGCAAATGCAGTGTAAATGGAAATCAGTACAAGGGGAATCTGCTTTTGCACCTCTTCTCCTTGGAACTCATTGTCTCCTCCTTTCACATGCAGGAAATCAGTCAAGCCCTGATGGTCCACCATGCTGTTCRGTAAAATACAGCATCCAAAACACATCATAAAAAAGACTTAAGTCTTTTAGTGTGGCAAGAAACAAGAAGAAGAAAACCATGAGCAAGGCAGGGGGTTCTTCCATGAATTAGTAAAATAATAACTGTAACAAGGATGAAAAAGCCAAAAGCTCACAGGAGAATTTAGAGTTATTCTGCCTTAAAAGCTTTTGAAAATGGCCCATGGCCAGATGGAAATGAGTTCATTTAACATATGACTTATCCTTTTCTTTTTCTTTGAATGATGCATAGCTCCAAATGATCTTTTAGGCTGGTTACATTCCTGGTTTATTTATTGCTATTGAAAAGTTGTTATCCCCTTCTCCAGCTCACTTGATTTGGATAAGGTGTGGTATAGAGCAAAGAAAGGGTGAAGTGTAATAGCCAGCTCAGTAACAAAATCATTATGTGATGTTCTCAGTGTGGCAGCTGCCTTGGGATTGGTGATAATTAATGCATTTAGTAATAAGTCTGCAGGCAGAGTGTGTTGATCAGTCCAGGCTGATCAAATACCTGTTTGTGTGTGCTGTCATGTTGCCACCAGAACACTGTGTTTTCTTGTTCTGTTTCCTGATGAGGTGTGCTGTCTAATCACAGAAATCAGGCCAAATACACTGTTGGGTGTTACATTTTACACATACTTTGTTTATACCAAGCTTTTGGGAGGAAATTGTTAAAATGGCTGCGGACTTGTGACAGTGAGAACTGGTTGCTCTTTGCCACTAAGACAGTGTGCAAACCCTTTGGAGTACATGGCACAGTGGGGTGGTGCTCCCAGAGAGGTTTCTCCGTCAGGTGTCTCATCATTTCTGGTGTGGCCACACATCACAGAATCATAGAATAGTCTGAGTTGTAAAAGACCCACAAGGATCATAAGTCCAACTCTTCAGCGAGTGGCCCATCCAGGTGATGTCAGCACCAGGCTCTGACCGACTGAGCCCATGATGAGTTAGGGTGGTGCACTGTATCTGGCACCTACAAACAGTCCTCTCCTGTGGACAGGAGGTTTGTTTACCCTACGGGTCTGTGGTAGCATTGGGGGAAAATAAACATGGCAGAGAGTGGGATGGCAAGATTGCAAGAAAGTGGGGAATGGGTCTTCTCTCGTGGTGTGCCAGCTACTGTAGCAAAATTAATTATTAGAAGGAAAAAGCTGTAGTAAAAGTAAATTAGAGTGTTTTCCTCATAATTACGCCACTAGTAATGATTCCCAAGCGTGGGCCAGTGAGAAGGTCAATGTCAGCTCCACAATTGCAGTCACTTTGCAGCAGGGACTGTCTCTGATCAATGTTTGCATAATATGTATTCCAGGGATACATTCTCTGTGCTGTTATGACCTATCAGCAAGGCCAAGCTGTCACTTATGAGAGAAATGTCATATTGAAAATCCATGGGGGCAACTGTAGATGACCCAAGGAGGAGTCACAGAGCATCCACTGGAGTGTCTTCTGTAACTACCTGAGTGGATTATGTGCAGTCTCACCCAGGTGGGCTGTCCATTGATCTGGGTCAGAATTGCTGAGCTACCAAAGCTGTAATTAAGCAACGTTTATTGAACTCAAATGTACTGGACATGTGTAAAACAAGTGTGAAGGCAGACATGTTCTAAACCAAGCCAAACCAAAACCACCACTCACACACACACTCCCCAAAATAATTTTTTGTTAAAATGTCTCTGGATAGAAAAAAAATCAGGAGTAAAATGCAATCATAGGTCAAAGTCATACTAAAGGATATGAAATAAGGGGTGTAAAGGATACTGGTGATTTCCTAAGTTAGCCATTGATAGAGATGGATGTAATCTTTGCTGATGAAGGTGAAAAGAAAGAGGCTGGTGAGGTGTGAAGAGGTGCTCCAGAAGCCAAGTATTCAGACTTGGGGATCTTTCTACACCATTTTCTCTTCCTTTTACTGAAGCGATGGGTAATGGCCTAAGGAAAGGAGACATTTCACTGGATCCTGTGTGTCTCATCCTCCCACTTTGTAATTACTCTTGTGTTCCAGCTCCACCAACACCTCTGCTCAGCTGGGATGTGCATCTCTAACCCCTCTGAAAGTCAGATCATTCCAAAACTGCTGATCAGTTTGGTCAGAGTTGCCTTATAAACATCAGCAATGGGTTGTTGTATTTTGGAGGCTTTTGTTCTTTGTTTTTCTACCAGCCTGCTTGCCCTCATTCTTTGTACAGGTTGAATTTGCTGGAAGGAGCCAGATGAAATGAGGGGGAATTTGGTGGGCACAGCTGGTGAGAAGGTTTGTTTGACAGGGCCATGATGCTCAGCACCACTGTGTTAGGTGGGGTATAGTTACGGTTTGTGAGTCTTTTTTTCAAAACAGAAGGTGCTGAGAGCCTGACTGCTGAATTCTCTGAGCAATGTTTACTTTGTTTCTTGGTGTTTAACTCTGTATTAGTCCCTGTAACAAGCCAGAATAGAGTGTTGACATTTAGATCTTCTGCAACTGAACCTAAAGATTTCATTATATTTACACCAGGATGTGTTTTGCAAGCCATTAGTTTCTAGTTGAGAAGTTGATGGGTATTTTAAGATCTTAAATCCTCTATTTGCTAGGAAACACCACACATTTTATTGCAGGTACTGTTTATGTGGAAGATGAAAAAATATTTTTTTTTTAAATCACAGATGCAGTATCTGACCCATGTTCCACCTGATTTTCAGTCCCATACCATTGTGATTCCCCTTCCAAACAATATCCTTTAATCTAATCTTGCATAAATTGGAAAAGCCATTGACTTTGATAACTGTGAGTGCACACCAGCTGAGCTGCTTTAGGGATTTGAAGCTTTATTTAGGAGGTTAAAATGAAAAGTGTTTCTAACTGGGTAACTGGGCTGTTCTTTCTGTCTAGTGGCAGGAATTAGCTAAACGAAGTTGTGTTTGGGCATTGTTTACCCTGTCATCTTGGTTTTTTTCATTTATTGACATGGTGCATATCAAAAGACTCTTTTTAGGGTATGGTTTCTTGTTGGTTTTTTTTTTTNTGTATTTGCATCTCCTCTGTCTGGTTATCTGATGGAACCTGCTCCATGTGTTTTGCTGGATTTAGCTGAGAAGTGTTCTGTGTCACAGTCTGTACTCCATCCTACAAGGTACTATTTCTGAACAGGCTGAATAATGGACTCTGATCAGAGACTTTAGGGATTAGAAAAGGATGGAAACAATCAGGTGTTTCAGCTAGTTTTCTTGTGGCTTCGGGAGGGTTGCTTTTTACATTGTATTCTCTAGTTTCTTTTTTTTTTTTTTTTTTTTTTTTTTTTTTTTTTTTTTTTTTTTTTTTTTTTTTTTTTTTTTTTTTTTTTTTTTTTTTTTTTTTAGGGTTGTGTTTGGTTGGGTTGTTTGCTTTTGGGTTTTTTGTGGGGTTTTTTATTGGTTTTTTGTTGGTTGGTTGGTTGGTTGGTTGGTTGGTTGGTTGGTTGGTTGGTTGGTTGGTTGGCTTTTTGTTTGGTTGGCTTTTTGTTTGGTTGGTTTGGTTTTTTCTTTTGTTTTGTTTTTAGTTAATATTGACCAGAGGCATGAGGGAAATGGTGCTGCTGTCTTTCCTTGCATAGTCCCTGTATGCTTCTGGCTCACTAAAAGGTGCGAGTTTCTCACAGAATCACAGAATTTTCTGAGCTGGAAGGGATCCACAAGGATCATCCAGGGCACCTCTTAAGCGAATTCGGAGTTGCCCTTAGGGTGGCTGTGGAATACACAACAGTGAAGGAGCATCTATTGTGCTCTCATCTTGCATTTCACATGGAAAACAGGACTAGACAAATTTAAAATCAGGGCTAAAGGGCCAATGCTGTGGCTGTGTGAGAAGAAAAGAACCACAAGGCATGTTCTTAGGGGACACTGCTATCACAATTCAAGATGACCTTTTCTCTTTTTGTACTTCCACTCTCTCCTGAACTGGTCTCTTTAGAAATCCTGTTGTGTTGTTGCTATTCAAGCCAACAGAACTGATAAGAAGCTGTGATAACCTCACATATAACAGCTTATTTATTTATTTAAATACAGGTGCTGTGTCTGGCTGCCCAGCCCTGTGCCAGAGGCTTTGTTGTTGGCAGAAGAACAGAAGCAATGCTTTGATTTTGTTTTCGTCTTTGGCAGGGGGATACGATTGCTTCCTGTGACTCCTCCGGTGTGATGAAGATCTGGGACGTGCGGAAGCTGATCCCTATTCTATCCATCGATGCAGGTCCCCATTCTGCCAACCAGGTCTCCTTTCATCGCTCTGGTAGGGTTTTCAAACAACTTTTTCTCCCTAAGATGTGGTTTATTTTGAAATCCAATCTCTCTCTAATTCTGAAGACAGATAACATGTGTGAAGCAGCATAGATGTGTTAATTTTGAAGGAGAAATGCCTGATTGTGCCAATGATCAATACATTTGTTTTCTATGGGCTGAACTGCCAAATTGGACTACTGCTCTATTTATATAAAATGAAAAATGCACAATGACAAAGAGTACGATTAATTGCAACAACATTACATGAAATGCAGAACTGATCAATGGGGGTAAAGAGCTTAGTGAGATTACCTTTGTTCCAGTGATGTTTATTCTCTATTTGCTCTTTATTTGCTAATTCTGGAGCTGCATTTCATAACCAACCTCACAAAGTCCTCTTGTAATTGCCTCAGAACTCCATCGTGCTGACAGGGCTGCTTACTAATCATGAGGAATTGAATTAACCAGTTATTTTTCATCATCAACCATTTATTACCATGTCAGCAATACTGTGAGTGCACATTGTGTTTTCATTTGAAGAGGGGGTGTTCTAAAACATTTTTGTTTTAAAAACAGACAAGCATTCATGTTGCAGCACAGAATTAGATGCTGGTTAGGGAATAGTTCTACTCAAAGCTAGTGCAACATGAGATAATACAATAATAGATAACATAATACATATAGGCACATTGAAAAATAAGTATACATTGCATTATGTGTTCATAAAACATAAAGCTTTGATAGCATATGAGAGATAATAAGGAATCATTAAAGAAAAATAATAGAATGGTATTTTGTCATAATGACCCACATACTGTGGAATGCATATTATCAATATATTGAGTCACTTGGCAGAAAACTTTGCCATCAAATTACATATTATTTGTGTAGTGATTTCATGGATCTCTCTGCTATAWCATTAAATAAGGTATTTTCACTTTCCAAGGGAGAAAAAATGCATTGACACTGTCCATTTTTGGACAGTTTCCCAAAGACAAGTTTAACCAGTATTGTATTTATGTGTGTAATTTGGAATAAGAGCTCATTCTTTTAGTCAGGAGGATTTGAAGAAGCTTTGCATCTTTGTTTCTGGTGTGTAATGTTGGGTCATTTGCAGAGGAACCACATCCCTGRAAAACGTAGTTGCTATATCTCTGCCAAATGGGAACTTTCCAGTAGAAAGGTTATCAGCTTCAGGTAATCTAAATAGGCATATTTTTCCATCATCTGGACAAAATCCAAAATTCTCTTTGTAGGAGTAACCACACAACAGAAAAATCAAATTGGGGTAGATGATGACAGAGAGACAGAATGCAACAGGATGGAATTCCAGCTGGCTGAAGATAGGCAAATACCTGGCTGAGACATCCTGTACCTGCTGCAAGAGGGATAGACTAGACAGAATRTATCCTGTGTTTATTGGCCTGTTGGGAATGGGACATCTGCCTCAGTCAGGACCTCTGACTGTGGAGCAGCTTGGGTTGATTTTGCTTATCAAAACATGGCTCAGTTTCAGCTGTATCCCTCAGTCTCTCTGGGTGATGTTACACCACCCAGTGCAAAATACTTGACTGTATTAATAGTCAGAGACACAAATTGTTCAGCTCTTACAGGTGGATTTAATTACTAGATTAGAGAGCCATGGTTGAGCAGTTTTGTTTTTTTTTTCTGCCCAATAATTATTCAAATTAAAGCTAATAATGATAGAAGAGGTTTATGGAAAGTTTGGCGGTATCAGCAAATGAGATTGAGGTCGGAGATAGGAAGGCCCCAGCTAATGGAAGAGTTTGTTTTGCTTTCCTTTGTATTGTTTTCAAGTCATTATCTTTGCAAATGCAGTGTAGACAAGCACATCTTAGCTTTTGTTTTTAAGTGGCATTACCTTTGTGGGTATGACATGCACCAGGTCAGATGTGCTTCCCAAAGGAGGAGTTTGTGAGTTACTGAGGTTCTCCTTATGGCAGWTTTGGACATGCGCCTTGCTGGCTCCAGTGATCCTACTGTGATTTGGGGCATAAATGCCTGACCAGCATTATTAGTTAAATTGCAGTCTAAAGCCATTTCCTGCTTTATCAGGGCCAAGCTTAGATCTTAGATAAGTTAATGATAAAAGTTGTGTATAAATCTTTCTGCTTTAGCTGCACTCTGCCTCAACTTTCCTTTAGCTCAGCTTAAAGGTAGACTTTTCCATACTTGTGAATGAGGAGAAAAAACTACGTTAGTAATTACCATTGCACTTCATGTGGATTTTCGGCTTTTCCCTGCTCTTTCTGTAACAAACTCATGGTCTTTGAGTGAGAGGTGATGATGGAGCTGCCTGAGACTCAGCCTACTGGGGCTAATGCTCTTCAATATTGTGCTTATATCAGAAATGTATCTGACACCATATAACATGTCCTTTGAATTCTGCATGCAACGAATGGCTGACCAGAGTCACTGTGCAAGATGGGCCGCAGCAAAACTGATTTTTAAACTAAATTCATTTTTATCTGCTCATGTGAAGTTAACTGGCATCTCCATGTGTATATATTTGTGTACAGCATTTATGGATCCCTTAAACACCCTCTTGTCATCACCTTTTTTGTTTCCAGTTGCTGTTTTGAAGATGTAAATAAGATTAATCACAGCACAGCATTGCATATGTAAGAGAAGGTGCAGAAGGTTCCAGCTTATGTCCTACAATGTATTTATTTATTATCACAGCACATTAAAACAAACAAACCAAAAAAGCCCCACTTCACAGCAACAATCCAAAATCAAGAGCAGTTACAATTAGGCCAAGGGCAAGCAAATAATATTTGGAAAAATGCACTGCTTTATTTTGAGCTCTGTAGATATAGTGAGGTGTTATCTTTTAACCTGCTTCCATCCCGGCTGGGCTGTGTTCCTCTTAGCATGAATAAATAAACTTACCATGCCTCTGACCATCCGCAAGGGCTATGGGTGTGTCTTGTTCTGAGGAAGAGTAGATTATAAGAATGGAAAAGCTGTAAATAAACGTGAAAGTTAAGAAATGGAAGTATCAAGAGTCTCGTGTGATACAAGTGGTTTATTTTAGGAGACAGGAATTCTGGGGATGCAGGAGATACATTGACAGTGAACAGATGGTACCACTGTAAACGATGGTGGGGTCAGGGCAACTRCTCAGTGTTGCTCTCTAAAAGTAARCTTGATTTGCTTAATTRCACATCACATGACATCACATGGGACTGTTACCATGAGACAGACATTAGTTCAATGGAGGCAGATTGTTTGCTGTTTCTCTGCAGTTGTTTTTGGTGCTAAATAGCAGTGAAGAATTTTCTTCTCTGTATTACCCACYAATTTATTGAATATGGAATTATTGACAGGATTTTTGGGATGTCTTTACTGAAGCATTTACAATATTTGCACTTGACATTATTTGGGCTATTACTGRTAATGTTAAAGCCACAAGTGATCCCCACAGGGATGGGGGCATGGAAATTAGAGCTYAGATGGTTTGAGTTCCCACTGATATTGAGTCRTCAGGTAAAGTTCCAAAATTACAGTTTTCATATCCATAAGCTGGTAACAATTTGTGTGCTCAGAACAGAACTGGCAGATGCAATCCTTGCAAATTGATCTTGTAGTGAGGCGCCCTCTCAATTTTCTCTTTCATTTCTTCCATTTTGGTTGYATTGRCTGCAAAGACAAGCTGGTGTTGAAGTGACASAAYCAAGTACCTGTCTTTYCTCCTTCTTTCCTCCTTTCCTTCACATTTTTGGTTAATTRGTGCCACATAAGTTGCCCTGGGGAGATAAAGCTTCATCTTRATAGGGCAGAGTTTTCTAGGATGGAAAGAGTTCTCTTTGCTGGGAAACTGTAGAGTGGATTTTGGAATTGGAGGCTGAATTGGCAGTGGATGCACCTGCAACTTGCAGATCTCAGGAGGTGACTGTGTCCACATCTAAAGAGAACTGGGGTAGAACAAGATCTTTACCTTTATCCCACTTGCTATTTCTGAAACTTGCTCTTTGTATTTGTCTCCCTTTTGATTACAGTTGAAGTCACGCTTGATGGGAGAAGAATCTTCTAGCACAGAATTTACCAGTAATCTTTTTAGAGGCATCTGATTTTGTCCACATAGAGCAATTATGTGCTGACATTAATGTGTGTTTTTCCCTATGCCTCCCATTTCTGACTAAAAAGCTTTTTTCATTACAACACTTTATTGCTCTGTGTTCTTTAATCTCCAAGGCAGATTACTTGATAGCATCAATTGATTCCTTAGGGTGCTTTTCCCCTTGTGGTTCAATGCCTGAGTTCCTGCTTCAATTCTGACTATGTATATGCTGTCACAGGCAATACAGCCTCAAGTTGGGTAATTTTTACTTGATTGAAGTTATTGGCAATTAACACAACTTTCTGATCACTGACTCTGAGTATTGAGACAAAACAAAACATGAAGAATTGAACAACTGTTTAAGTAAGTGCTTTTTCTCCCCCTTCCCCGGTCTCAGCATGAGCCGAACATCACTCCTTCCCCCTTCCTGGTCTCTGCTTGCCACGTTTTTGCTGTGGGCTGTGCCACATCATCCCAATTCCTTTGGTGCAGCAGCAGGGGATGCAGGACGAGTATCAATCTTTGGATTTGTCCTGGCACTTGCCTTTTTACACAGAGCTCAGACAACTCCCAGTTCTGGTTRCTAATCAGTTTGAACTTGCTACAGAGCTCTAACTCCTCCTAACAGGGCAGCAAGGTGACCAAGCTGTGGTTTTGGAGCACATCTTTCAAATCTTTACAAGATTTGCTCTTTATATAGAAAATTGAGACTTATTTTGTTGCTTTTTACTCTGGCTTTTCTCAAGTCCATTTTATATGGTACATCACTTGATCCCATCAGGAATTACTTAATGTCTGTCCCTTCAGAGCCCTTTGTTTTGCACTCCTGTGGGTTTTCCCTGCATCCCTACACACCCTTTTCTGTACAAACTAAGCATTCATATGGTCTGTTTCTTTTAAATGTAATTGAKCCACATTCTCACATA